AGAGAAAGAGAAAGAGAGAAACCCACCGTGTCGGGGGCTCAAACCATGGTCAGCCATGTGGGAGTCCAGTGCCCTTAACCACCACACTACCTGCCAACCCCAGCCAACCGATTTTTGACCCAAAGACACAAAACAACCCACTAAAGAAAAACTCTCTTCAACAAATAGCACTGCAAGAACTGGATGTCCACCTGCAGAAAAATAAAACTGGACCCCTATTTCACATCATTCACAAAAAATCAGCTCAGGATGCATCAGAGATCTAAATGCAAAACCTCAAACTATGAAACTACTGGGGAACACTTGAAAGTGCTGGAGTAGGCAAAGATTTCTTAAATAAAGATTTCTAAAGCACAGGCAATAATGCCCAAAATAGACAAGAGGGACTCCATCGAGCTAAAAAGCTTCCGCACAGCAAAGGAAACAATGATTAGAGTCAAGAGACAACCGTAAGAATGGGAGAAAATATTTGCACACTATGCTTGTTCTTCCCAGAAGGGTGAGGCCCTGTCCCATCCCTCATCTGAGGGACTGATAATCAGAATATATAGGGAATTAAAGCAGCTTACTCACAAAAAACCCTGAACAATCCAATTTAAAGATGGGCAGTCGAGGTAAAGAGACAGCTCTCCAAGAAAGACATACAAATGGGAAAACACACACACACACACACACACACACACACACACACAAATGTTCAACATCTCTCAACACAAGGGAAAGGAAGATCAAAACCACAGTGAGATACATAACCCCAGTCGAAATGGCTGTGATTAAAGAACTACAAGCGCTGGAGAGACTGTGGTGAAAAGGGAATTCTCCTAAACTGTTGGTGGGAATGTAAATTAGGGCTACTTGGAAAACAATATGGAGGTTCCTCAAAAACCTATGACTAGAACTACCATATGACCCAGCAATATACTCAGGCTCTTGAGCTTAAGGCACTTGTACTTCCTTGTTCACTGCAGCAGTTTCAGTCGCTAAGACATGGAATCAACTTGAATGCCCAAGAACGAATAACTGGATTGAAAAAAAATATAGCATGCATATACCACTGAATACTATTCAGCCATAAAAAACAGTGAGACCCTGTCATTTGATATAAAGTAGATGAATATGGAAGATTTAATGTTAAGTGAAAAAAGCCAGACTATAAAAGACACATTGTATGTCCCTGCTCAATATATACCAAATGCCCACACTCTATGGTAGAAAACGAAAGATTAGAAAATATAATAGCAAGGAGGGCAAGTGTAGATACTAAAGACTGTATAGGAGGGGATGGATGAATGGTGGGAGGTGGGAAAAAAAAAAACATTGAACAGACACAAGAATGCGAAGTTCTCTCTTGAGTATGATGTACATGGTAATATCTTTGACTTGATTGACACACTCTATGTATGCTTTGAAAAACCTAATTCTGTATGCTGTAAAGATGTACAATGACTGAATAAACAACATTCCTGAGAATTCTCTGAGAGTTTGAATGCTTGCTACTTGGAGTGGAGAGACAGCAGGGGCGGGTAACGAGCACTCCTCCCAGCGGAGCAGGGTCACGTTGCAATCTCCGTTCCTCCATTTGTCTACCCTGTCGGAATCTGGGACATGCGTACCTGCCCTGCGAGCTTTTCAAGTTGCCAGGGCTGGGACTCCAGCTAAGGTCAGCTACAAGGTACCCAGCTCCCTTAGCCACTAGGCCTCAGGGCCAGCCTCATCAAACTAAATTCTAAGAAAGGCTGAGGTTCAAGTATTATTCAGGTGAGAACCAAAGAAGATAATTCTCTGATACACAAGTGCAGAAGAAGAGTACCATTTGGGTGCTCATCCTGAAAAAAAAAAAAAATTACCCTAAGGTATTCTCCAAATCAGACAAAAGAAGCAAAATTAAGAATTCAAGGAGGAAGGGGTAACGGGGGAAAAGCCACGAGAAAACCCTGAAAATACTGCAATAAATTTTGTAAATACACACACAGAATTAAGTGCAAAGCCAAAAGCAATTTTGAGAGAGCCGATTGATATTCAGAAATCCAAGTTGGGTTTTGTTGACTGGGCATATAAAAATGGGATGAGTAGAGAAGACAGTGACATTCGATTCTTCATCCTCTCTTGTGGAAAGAAAATCTCTTACATTGTCCCGGACATTGATAGATTTGTAATGACAGATTTAAGAGTGAAAACAACTAGTGATCATTAGTAGTGTTAAAAATGAGATACCTTCTTTTCAAACCACTGCAGAAGATCAAAGCAGACAAAATAGAGTCTGCATAAAGCAAAGTAGTAAGAAAACATAAAAATGACCATATTCTGTGCACACAGGGAGCTATCAGAGGGGAATCCAGCCACGTAGTGGTAACAGTCCGTAAATACGTTTCCTTGCTAGAAAGCAAAGATCCTCAGATTTGATTTAAAAAGTAGAAGTATTTGCTGCCTCAGGTTTATCACCATAAAAATTGACTACCTGAGAGTCACCAGCTACCGAAGATCACCTTCTGTTTCTTAATATTTAAACAAACATGATGAAAAAAATAGCAACTTGCACCTACTGTCAACCCACCCACCCACATACACAAATGGAGAGAAAAATGTATCACTAGGAACTGGCTTACACAATTACGAGGACCAAGTCCCAAGAGCTGCAGTTGGCCAGCTGAAGACCATGACAGCCCATCGGGTAGCTCCAGTCCAAGGGCCAGCAGGCTTGAGACCAGGAAAGAGTCGGTGTGTCTGTTTAGACCCAAAAGCAGAAGAAAAACCAGGGTCTCTGCTCACAAGTAGAAGGAATTTGTGCTTACTTATTTAGGCTTTTTGTTCTATGGAGGCCTTCAACTGATTGGATGAGGCCCACCCTGGGTGGAGAGGACAATCTGCTTTGCCCAGTCTGTAGATTCAAATGTGAATTCCATCCAGGAACACCCTCACAGACGCACGTAGAATGTCTGACCAGATGTCCAGGCATCCAGTGGCCCAGCTGAGTGGCCCCATAAAATGAACTATCACAGCCCCTTGCCTTATCGATTCCCTCCGATCGACACGAGGAAATTACTGGTAGGACTTGGCTGAAGATTTGAGAAATGGCATGGCAGGTGGCAGCAGCGTAAACAGAGTGTTAGTCATCCATGCCTGAAAGTCCGTCCACCCGCCCATGCCGACACACGCCTTAGTCAGTCCAGGCCCTGGATCGTCAGCACGCCCAGCGCTCGCCCTAGGAGCCTTTAGCGATGGAGGGGCCTAGTGGGGACTTGCACCGGTGGTCTCTGTCCTGAACAAGTCATAAGGCAAGGACAGCACATGGCGCTAACCGATAACCGCCCTTGCCCTTCCGAGTAAGTGCCTGGAGGACTTGGCCGGAGGCGGCTTTCCTGGGCTTCATCACTCACCTCCAGCCTAGGGAAGGGAAGGCTAGCGTCACTGAAGGAGGGCTTCTCTGACTGAAGGGAGTTGAGAGGAGCGCGTGCAGTGGGATTTCGCCTCCCAGACGTGCAGCCTACTCTGTGCAGGCCCCTTACACACTTCCCAGACTCTGCCCTGCTGTCCGAATGCTTCATTTCGTTTATTCTCCGTAACCGCACAAGGTTGGCGTACCTTAGTACTTAATGTGAGGCCCATTAGAGTGCTGATGGGTGTGGTCCACCTGGCTCTGCGTTTCATTAGCTGTGTCATCCTGGGCAGGCTGTTTAGGGACCTCACCAAGCCTGCAGGCACTAAAGAGACTTCCCAGCTCAGAGCAGTGTGAGGGTTAAATGAGCAAAAACCTAAATGAAGCATGGAACACAGCATTCAATAGATGTTTTTAAAAATTAGTTAATTTCAGGACCAGCAGATGGTGTAATGGTTACACTGCTAAACTCCCATGTAGTCGGCCGTGGTTCAAATCCCGAATCTGGTAGCTTAAACTAACACCATGTGCATGCGCATGTGTGCCCCAAATCCTGAGGAGCGTGGAATAGAAGGGACTGCAGTGTGGCCATTCTTCCTGAGGGAGGGTGGTGTCTCACTTTCTGTCTCTCTCTGTCTCCAGCCAGCACACGTGCCCTATAGCAAGAATCTCTCTTAAAAAAGAATTAATTTCATGAGAGAGAAAGGACAGCATCCTCAGTAGGCTGTTCACACTGCGATCCAGTCTCAGCCACCTTGAATCACGGGTACACGGGCATGTATGCCCAGAGTGTGCATGGAGGTCCCGGGACACGAACCACAGCGGTCCCACTCGATCCCAGTGTGTGTCAGCTGTCATCATTTCCGTGTGCTTTGTGTCTGCGTTAAGTCAACTGTGGCTCTCGGGGGTGAAGAGAGAGGGCTAGGGACAGGCGTCCCAACCCCCATGCAACCCGCTGCGTCACGACACCTCAGTGGGGGGGCTGGAGTGGAAGTCTGTGTGGGCCACAGAGATTGTTCTGTTGAAGTGTCACCCAATGAACAACCACCAAAGCCAGATTTAGCTTAAAGGGAGTCTGTATCAGTTGGCCAACGCCTACAGCCTGAGGCTCTGGGGCCAAGAATCAGAACTGCAGCCGCACCCGAAGTTTTGAGTAGTTTTGTTTTTTTTTATAGGGGGTCAGTTACCAGGGATTTTTATGTAAGCAGTTAATAGAAGCTGAATTAAGTAGGTTAATTCTTT